CACTTGTTGCTCGATAATTCAGCAGTGCGTCCCAAGCCGGCCTGCCAGCCTGCCGCTGCCACCTCCTTCCCCACCTCCCTCCCTTACCTCTACCCCCCTTACTTTTTAAAACATGCGCACACATATAATATATATATATATATATATATATATATATATATATATATATATATATATATATATATATATATATATATATATATATATATATATATATATATATATATATATATATATATATGTATATATATAACTGATCTGAGAAAACATGAAATTGTGAAGTTCAGTTTAATCACACTGGATTAAGGTTCGTTTACATTTGCTTCGTTATTTAAACTAAGACAACTAATAGTAGTTTAATGTACATAGTGATAACAGGGTGTACCAACGTTCTTGTATTTCCTGTAACATTAACTACCTTGAAACTCAATAACATGGCAGCCAAACTGAGCAGTGTGCGGGTTATGCTTCTTCTCGTTAATAATGTCAGAAATAACTTACTGAGGCTGAGTTACAGAAGGAGGTTATACAGGAGAGTCATCCTTGTTGACCTCCTCTCACCAACACATCATCTGTACGGCTCTCAGTCTCTTCATCATTGTTACTCAGTTTACACACATTGCTAAGTTGTCTTTTTTAATGTGTCAACGTATGAAGCACATGCCGTTCTTTAAATTAATGACATTAAATCTTAAAAGTTAGCCGCAAGACAAGGGAAAATATAGATGTCTTATTTTTTAAATGACAAAAAAATATACGATAAGCTTTAAATAATTTATTTCTAGGCTCTATTTTTGGGCAGTTTATTTATTGCTCAATAGAAACCTTACATACTGTTCTTACCGGGACAGTTTATACATCAAACACGTAAAATGAATAAGATAGGGCATCAAGTACACACACACACACACATATATATATATGTATATATATATATATATATATATATATATATATATATATATATATATATATATATATATATATATATATATATATATATATATATTTGGGTAGGAACACACACATACACACAATTTACAGGGTCTATCATAGGATCAGGTAGTTTGAACTGGGCGTGGGTAAAAAATAGGTCGAATGCAATATTCTTTTAAGACAAATTTAGAAAGTTATCCTTTTAGATATACTCAAGGTAAATGATAGGGATCAGCGTCCCCTGTGATTACGTCTCATTGTTAAGTGTTTATCACGGGGATAATTGTCCTGTGTGCGTGCAGGCTGCCCGCCCGTCCGTCCCTCTGCTCATCACACACACACACACACACACACACACACACACACACACACACACACACACACAGCTTCCCTCACTGGTGCTCCTTCCTACACACACACGCACACAGCTTCCCTCTGCTGCTCCTTCCTACACACACAGTCACAAGGCCAGGTTCCCTGTCTATATCTGCTACTGTCCCCCCACACATGGTCACCAGGCCAGCTTCCCTCACTGCTGCCCTCCACACACACACACACACACACACACACACACACACACACACACATACACACACACACACTACTACTACTACAACAACATCTACTTTGCTGTCACTCTGAATCGAGTATGACGATCATCCAGCTATGATACAATGATGTGAGTTATTAAGGATGTCACCTACGTTGGTGAGCTCTGATGTGACTAAAAAGGCCGATACGGGACCGGCAGGGTCGCTCACAGATGTTGTACTGGTGGGGGAGAGGCGGCGGCAGCGTCTTTCCGGCGTTGGCGCTTGTCTGCCTCAGTTTGCAGTCGGGCTAATCCGACAGTATTGACTCTTTCTTCTGTGGTGATCCTCCAAGCGTTACGGTATGGAGTAATCGTCTCCCACGTGAGGGGGTTGATTAGGCACTTTTTCAGGTTTGTCTTAAGACTATCCTTATACCTTTTCAGTTGCCCACCAGCGTTACGTATACTATTCGTTAGGTGACTGTAAAGTAGCTGCTTTGGCAATCTACTGTCGTCCATGCAGGTAGCATGGCCGGTCCAGCGTAGTTGTTCATGGATAATGGTAGCCTAGAGGCTCCTATAGCTGCTGTCAGCAAGAATACTGGTATTTGTCCTTTTGTCTTCCCAGCGAACTCGGAGGCTGGAACATAGACTAAGGTGGTGAAAGATTTCAAGTGCCTTGAGGTGCCCCCTGTAGGTGACCCATTTCTCGCTGCCATATAGCAGGGTGGGGAGGATAACGGCTCGATATACATACAATTTTGTAGATAATTTCAGCTCCTTAAAGTTGAAGACACGGGTACGGAGTCTGCCAAAGGCTTGAGATGCACATCTGATCCGATATTGAATCTCTTCATCGATGTTCGTGGTGGTGGACAAGTGGGAGCCATGGTACTGGAAGTGGGTAACATTAGGGAGAGTAATACCTTTAAGTTGGATGGATGGTGGAGGTGTGGTTAAACCAGGGGCAGGCTGAAAGAGAATCTGAGTCTTAAATGCACTCACCTCATGGCCGAAGTGTGCATACGCATCTGCGTAGGTGTTCAAAATCTCCCTTAGGTCGCGTTCAGTGTGATCGACGAGGGTGAAGTCGTCTGCATACTGCAGTTCAGTGATGGTAGAAGCCGACACCTTTGTTCCTGCCTGGAGTCTTTTTATGTTGAAAAGACCCTTCATCCAGTACTGGATGTTCACCCCACCAATTAAATTGGCATTGGCACGAGTAAGGAAGGCAGCCAAGAAAATGGAAAAGAGAGTTGGTGCCAGTACACACCCTTGTTTACCCCATTTGGACACTATAAGTCTGCCAAATCCTGAAATAAATATGCTAGGCCTCACCATTTCCACCAATATGTCCTGGAAATAACACATCTTTAATATAGCTCAAGCTGCCTCCCGAAAGTTGGGAATGCTGCACAGATGCCGTAGCTACTTCACTCCTGAGCAGTTGTTCCAAGTATATAAGGGATTCATTCGTCCTAACTTGGAGTACTGCTCTCACATCTGGGGTGGCTCTTCTTCTGTCCAACTGTTAGGGATAGGGTAGTATCAAAGGCATTTCGTCTTATTAACTCTCCTCCTTTAGTCGACAATCTCTCTTCCCTTTCTCTTCGCCGCAATGTTGCTTCACTCTCTCTCTTTTACAGGTACTTTAACGGGCAATGTTCGGTGGATTTGGCATCCTGTGTACCGCCGACAAGGCCATGGGCTCGTAACACACGTCTTGCCCGTGGTGCCCACCGCTTCCCTGTGGATGTCGGTCACACGAGAATAACCTGTTATAGTACCTCCTTCTTTCCTCACACAGCCAAACTGTGGAATGCTCTGCCTTCTTCTGTGTTGCGATACTTATACAATCTGTCTCACTTTAAAAAGCTGGTTTTCCGGCATCTTCGTGGTGTAGATTAACACAGTATAACTTTTGTCTTTTCTATTTTCAATTTCTTTCTCTTCTTATTTTTTCGCCCCCCCAAGGCCCGTTGTGGGTCATTTGACCTGTGCCCGGGTAGTGGGCTAATTCCCATAAAAAAAAAAAAACTGGGTGCCATTGTGCAGGACACTGCCGTTCATGCGGATGAATTTTGGTGGGCAGCCATAACGGCTGAGGGTCCACCAGAGGGCTTTCCGGTTGACTGAGTCGAAGACCTTAGTTAGGTCGACGAAGGCCATGAACAGGTCACGATGCTGTTCTCTGCACTTTACCTGTATCTGGCGGGCAGCCACGTGATGGTCTAAAGCCACATTGAGATTCTGAGAGGAAGTTTTCCCCCTAAGGAATAAGTCTATTTAGAAGGACTCGGGCGATAATCTTGCCGGCTACGGACAGCAACGAGATCCCACGGTAATTGCCACAGTCTGACTGGGGGATTTCCTCCTTTTCCCATATATTCTCCAGGAGAGAGTGGAGATTGCTGGTAAGCAGAGGTCCTCCTGCATTATACACCTCGGTTGAGATTCCATCAGGCCCTGAGGCTTTGTTATTTTTCATCTATTTTATGGCAGTGGCTTCCTCATCCAGGGATGGAGGACAGCCGAGGTGGGTCAGCTCCGAATGCTGAGGGACCTGCTGAGTAGTCAGAACATCCACATCGGTTTTTCGGTTGACCAGTGGATGGTAGTACTCTTTCCAGCACTCAAGGATGCCTTCTTCGTCTTTGGGGCACTTTGGTCTAAATTTTGTCCCTCCTTTTATGACCAACTAGTAGCACCGTGGGTTATAAACTGTCCCACTGAGATGTAAGAGTACGCCTATAGAGAGCGTGCACAGTGGTGTGCGTGACTCATAGTATCCCTGCCAGGTTTCAGTGCACCACGTGGCATGAGAGAAGGTGGTGCATAATTGCAAGCTGTTGCAATTTTATGCCATATCATTCCTTTTTATAAGGTAAGTTTCATATGCTGTTACTTTTGCACTTTGGAGTAGATGTAACTGTTTGATGTAGCAAAATTCCCCAATGATTTAAATTTTGAAATAAAAATGTAAAACATGATGGGCCGTAAAATATCCCACAATGCAAGTTATTAACGCTCATAGGAGCGTTATTGGTTTGTGCTGGATAATAAGACCCTTGTTGTTGACGCGATGAGTATAATTCGGTCAAAACCTGTTAAAGAACAATTCACATATAACAACTGCTGGTATGTCAGGAGACAGTTTGAATAGTACGATCAATATACAGTACATAACCTATTAACCTCTTAAATATAACTCACATGTTACAACTGCTGATACATCAGGTCACAGTTTGTATAATATGATCAATATACAGTACATAAATACACTTATTAAAGTTATTTAGAGTTCTTAGAGGATTTAATAGTTCACAATCACACTCACGTTTTGGGATCTAGGGTTTGACCAATGAGAACAAATATAATATCCTCCTGGAAGCTGTTGTCTCTACAGTAGGTGATAGACTGTAGGGTTTCGTGATATTATGTTGTCTAGCACTCAGGATGGGATGGATGGAAACTCTAGGTGGTGGTTTTCTTATATAAAATATATTATATACAAGAAAGTCTGGTGTTGGAGATGCCGTGCGGTGAGAAGCTTGTGGTGAGAGACACGTGCAGTGAGTAGTGTGCTTGAGGAGGTATCTGTGCAGGAGCTTCGTTAGAGGAGATGTTGCGTGTTCAGGAACGTAGGGTAGAATGAATCTCAATGGGGAGACTGCGAGCTTATATACACAGCAGCCGGAAGTAAACCCGTGGGAACTCACCGGTTTCTTGACTCCGTTGCTAGGGTAGACGCAGCAGGTGGCGAACCCCCCGCCGTGAGCAACTGGCTGGTTGCTAGGATACTGTCACATGGGAATGCGGATACGCAGTTGTAGGGGAGAGATCCACTACAAGACTGTCCCTCTGACAGTCACACAGCTGCTACCAGCGTGGCCGACGCGCCCATTTAAACACCTCAGCAAAGTTCGTTGTCAACACTCTATCTTTCCTCTCACCCCCTCTCTCTCTCTCGTCTAGTTTATCTTACTGTGGCTATCCCTCTCTTTCTCTCTCTCTTCTAGTTTATCTTACTGTGGCGGTAACACAAGTTGTACAGTCGGCCACAAGAATAAGTATACACCTACAGTCAGGGCCGGGTTAAGACTTTCGTAGGCCTTAGGCACCCCCAAGATATGGGGCCCCATTTGACAGCATATTCACTAATAACACAAGCTAGTACCTAATTATAAAATGTGATGTCGAAAGAATAAGATTCAGTGATGTTTGCCATGAATTGAGTAAAAGAAAATGGGTTAGATCAGCTGTTCTTGTACAGTACAGAAATAGTTTTGTTTACAAGAAGCACAGCTAGCTGGTGGACACTGGGAGACGACCGGTAATTGTGTCTTCTTTTTTTCTCTTATGCTTAGTGCATTTTTATAAATGTTGTTAGTTGTTTGTGATGAATATCTATAGACACTATAGACATGGTACTGACTGGTGACAACTGTCTTTGTTCTTCTTGTAGAAATTTAATATACTCATATTATCGTATAGGCAGACGGTAGTGATCTACCAGAGAGTGAATGTGAATTATAGTCCTCTGTGACAGTATATTTACCCGAATAGCTTTGATTTCTGGCTTTAAACCCAGAGTTGTGAGTTTTTGTAACTACCTAGCTAATAGCTATGATTAGCTTCACCTTTGTCCCGTAGGCTACTTGTAGAGTTTCTGATTAATTGCTCTGTTTCAGATTTTGTGCAGTAGGATTTATCTTTGATTCAAAAATGACATAGACGCCTTTTATGCTAGGTTACAATTTTTGAGAAACAGGAAATAGACTGATAGTTACTTTAGATCTGCGAGCTTCACTATAGCTCATGAATTATTATGACACTATGATCACATATATTTATTTAATTAATGTCGCCCAATTACATTTATCTGTAGTTCCTTGATATATATATTTATAATCCCTTCTTCTTGTAGGTAAATATGTCAGATGATTACCGAAGGAAACATGAATCTGGGCATGTTAAAAGAAAGAAAAGGGAACACATAGAAGAAGAGATACGAAAACAACAAGGGTCAATGTTGAAATTCATAAAAAGGAATGATGCAATGACTGGTAGTTATTTTGGTAATAGTGGTCCTTGTACTGAAGTACTGTCAAGAAGTGGAGAGGACATTTCTGTCTGTGGTGTAGCAGCATCTTCTGGTTTTGAACAGGATCTGGTGTTCAAGAAGAGGTTCCTCGACAGGAATTTGCTGTTCAAGAAGAGATTGCTCGACCTGAACTCCCAAAGTGTGAGATACAGCAATGCAGAAGCAGTGACCCTGCTGAATGGGAAGTGAATGTGGATATACTCAACTATTATGCTGATCATATTCCATCACAAAACTTGGATGCAGGATTCTCCAAAAGGGGTCGACAGTTCGGTGACAAAAAGCGGTGTGTTCGAAAAAATTACTTTCAGAGATATCTAGCAAATGGTGAGGTTATGACACGTGACTGGTTGATCTTTTCACCTTCAACTGGAAAAGTGTTTTGTTATGTGTGCAAACTTTATTATAATGACCAAAGTCCTACTCAATTTAAGACAGGATTTGATGATTGGAAGAATGCCACTGCCAGAATATCCTCCCATGAGCAGTCAAAAGATCACTTATGTGCACTCTCTAACAGGTTGCAGCATCAGAAACATACTAGAATAGAGGCTGAGCTGGAAAAAGTCAAGCAAGAAGCATATAGATACTGGTTTAAAGTTCTGAAAAGAATTGTAGCTGTTGTGAGATTTCTTTCGGAGAGAGGCTTAGCCTTTCGAGGTGACAATGAGGTTGTTGGTAGCCCAAACAATGGGAATTTCCTTGGGTGTTTAGAGCTATTGGCTGAATTCGATCCTTTTCTTCATGACCATGTTGAAAAATTAAAAAATCCTGGAAAAGGACACGTGTCTTACCTCTCTTCGACAGTATGTGAAGAATTTATAGGCCTGATGAAAATGAAAGTTAAGGAACATATAATTACCGAAATCAAAGATTCAAAGTACTATGGTGTCAGCATTGATTCTACCCCGGATATTAGCCACACTGATGAACTTGCTGTAATACTCCGATATGTGCTCTCTGATGGAATGGTTGTGGAAAGATTTGTGCAGTTCATCCCAATTGAAAGACATGATGGCAAGTACCTCTTTGATACACTGACCAACTTTTTTCAACAAAATGGAATAGATATTGCGTGGTGCAGATCACAGTGTTATGACAATGCAAGCAACATGATTGGGATATACTCCGGTGTGCAATCAAGATTCAAAGAAGTCAATAACTTGGCAGAGTGGGTACCATGTGCAGCCCATAGCCTGAATTTGGTAGGCTCTGTTGCTGTGGAAAATTGCACAGCGGCTGTCAATTTTTTTGGTGTTGTACAGTGCATTTACAATTTCTTTTCAGCTTCACCACAAAGATGGAGTATACTTACTGAAAGTCTCAAAAACCCCATAAATGCTTATGCAGTTCACAGTATGTCAGAAACTAGATGGTCTGCAAGAAGTGATGCAGTGTCAGCCCTATTCTTGAACTACTCAGAGATTAGACAGAGTCTGATCAATGTTGCAGAATTTACTGGGCAACCTCCTTCAGCTGCTCATGAAGCTAAATCCCTTGTCAAGAAACTTGATGCATTTGAGACTGCACTAATTTGTATTATTTGGAATGATTTGCTTAAAAAAATTAACATAGTCAATAAAGCTATTCAAGAGCCTGGAATTGAATTGGGAACAGTTGTAAAGATGTATGACAGTCTTCTGGCATATTTTTCTGAAATCCGTGATAAATTTGAGAGTTTTGAAGAAACGGCAAAGGAATTCTCTAAAAGTGACTACAAAGAGGAGATGCAGGGTGAACGCAAACGTATGAGGAAACAGTTTTTTGGTGAAGGAGCCAGGGATGACACGGTCTCAACCATGACTGCAAGTGACAGATTTAGAACACAGACATTTTATCCTATTGTAGACAAGCTCATTGTTCAGATGGGTAGACGCCAAGAAGCATATTCAGTGTTGTGTGACAGATTTGGTTTCCTGGTTGACAAATCACTGTCCCAGGATAAAGTGATCCTGAAAGCCAGAAATCTAGTGAAGACTTATTCCAGTGATTTGGAAGAATGTTTTGCTGATGAGTTTTTGCTATTCTCAAATATGTACCCGGAGGAGAAAACCGTGAATGGAATGCTGTGGATTAATAACCAGTTTTCCTAATGTCCACATTGCATTTCGAATTTATCTTTCACTGTTTGCAACCAGTTGTGAAAGCGAGCGGTCCTTTTCCAAACTAAAAAGAATTAAAAACTGTTTAAGATCCACTATGGGCCAAGAGCGGCTCTCTTCTCTTTCCCTACTTTCAATTGAAAATGAACTGCTTCGAAAGATAGACACTAATGACATAATAAAACAATTTGCACTGCAAAAAAGCCGTAAAGTTTTGATCTAATAAATATCTTAACTTAAAATCTGTGTCAATTTTCCGAAGCAGTTGCTTTGGCATATTGAGTATGTTCTAAACATTTCCTAATGATTACGTTGTAACTTGTATAGGATATTTCAGAAACAAAAGTATATATTAGACAACTGAAAAAAAAATAAAATTTTGTGTACTCTTTGAAACAACTTTCTTCTACTATTTTGCTTTCATCTATGGCCAGAATATACCTAAATAGAATAGTATAGAAAATAATCAAGTAACATAAATAGATACTAATAGGATTAAGTAATAAATAAATGGAAAAAAAGTACCTCAGTATCAATTTAATAATAACCTGTAGAAAAAGGGGAAGAAAAGTTCTCGTTTTATTTTTCGTAGGCCCCCAATATCTCGTAGGCCCTAGGCACTGTGCCTACTGTGCCTAATGGATAATCCGGTACTGCCTACAGTTCGCGTTTGAGACAAAGTATCTGGTAACACTGTCCTGAACAGAACAGACAAAATTACAAAATGACCTGTAATTTATGTTTTATTCCTACATATATGTTATAAATACATTTGTTGTGAATGTTTTACTAGTGTCTTGTGTTTATATTACAAGTAATATATTGCATCCAATGGTAGTAAACTTGTTCCCAATGGGATTGCAGTTATCGTACAGCTCCCTCCTTCTCCCCCACTTTTTCTCTTACCCGACTTTTTTTTACTGATGTTTGGATTAGTAAAGGATGGAAGCGGAGTAAATAGAAGAATAAAGAAGGGGAAACAGAAAATAGTTAGAGATAACAAGAGGGGAGAGCTGAATTTCATCATGCGTCTAGATGCACAGTTTCAACGTTACCAGACCATTTTCGGACCTTACAGCTACAGTGTGTATACTTATCCTGTGGCTGACTGTACCTAAAAGTAATTTTCTATGATAAATATTCAAATCAAGAAGTCAAAACATACAGTTTCGGTAGAAATACGTAGAAAGGAATCAAGTCATCAGCCAGAGCGCACAACTCGAAGACGTTGTGCTCTGTGCAGTCCTGTTCTGTATGCAAAGTGCCTCTGTCTTGAGAAAAATAAACATTGTTTTCAGAAATATCAAGCAGAAATAGTGAATCTCACATGTTTTTCTTTTTTATGTTAAATATGTAAGTGTGAGGAAGATAAAAACAAATAGATTACTGTAGTGGACGTCTCCCCTACAAACTGCGTATCACATTCCAACGTGCCGTTGCCTAGCAACCAAGCGAGAGCTGTCCCCAGATGTTACCGTATCTTAGCAACGAAACTATTCACCGGCGACTTCTCGGGTTTTCCCAACATGACTCATAGAGGACTGGCGGCTGCTGCCGGGTGTATATAAGCTCTGTCTCTCCATTGAGATTCATTCTGCCCATTTTCCTGAACAAGCAACACCTCCTCCAGCAAGCTCCAAGCTGTTAACATTTATTCAACCAGGAGGCCAGCGACAGGCAACATCTTCTCTAACGAAGCTCCTGCACATCTACCTCCTTCAACACGCTACTCACCGAACGTCTTCTACTGAGCAGCTCCCCACCACACGGCACCTCCAGCACCAGACTGTCTATCATATAACTTATATTATACAAGAAAACCACATTAGAGTTTTCTTCCATCCTGAGTGCTAGACAACATTAATATCTCAATACCCCTACAATACCATGATTTTTATTTGCAATGTTCAGAAGCACACTGCATAAGGGATTTGTTCGTCTTTTTGGTAAACGTCAAATTACAGATTGCATTTCTTGATTGTTGTAGACAATGTGACTTAATTTTAGTAGATATTATTCTTCCCTTCTCTTATATCCATTTATATACAATCATATATAAGTTGCATGGTGGGATGAATTTTACACGACCTAATTATATATAATTAATGGCAGTTATTTTTTTGTGTATGATTCTTCAACTAAATGTATAATTAGTTCATTAATGAAAGTGCTTTTAGGTTGAAATAAAGGAAAATATTTTTCTGAGCAACAAGTTTTTTTGTTTTTTAAAATCCTGTGCCCCAGAATTAATTAGGAAGTTACCTTTGGATGAGCGGAGGGGTCTGCCGCGTGAGTGATTGGCCCATAAAATGTTTCAGTGGAATTTAAAAATTCGTGCATCTTGTGCTGATCTGTAAGTTTTTGTCTTTCACCTGCTTTATATTTAAACCAGTCGTTCTTTAGATTGCGAAGTTCGCGCTGGGCCGTTGCTTTCTTCTTGCAGAAGGTATCAGCTTTGGTCCGAGACTGAGGGTTGGACTGCCAGTCAGTTAAAGCAGCACGGTTATCATCATCTTATCATCATCGAGTACATTGATTTCCAGATCATTTTCATCAAACCAGTCTTGGTGTATTCTTTCGATCTGGCCGAGGGTCTCTATGCAGGTTTTTGTCATGACAGTGTCAAAAATATCCCATTCGGCACTGGGATACGGGCTCTTTGTTGTTGGGTTGTTTATCAGCCCATGTTCGAGCTACTCTCTGAAAACATATTACTGCTGGATCCTCCAGCAGTAGCAAGGTTTGCTGCCTTCGCCGTTTTGGGGTTGGTGTGAAGTGAGAACTTGGCTCTGAGGAGCCAATGATCAGTGTCGCAGTGATTCGAGCCACGCATGGCTCGGGTGATTAGGACATCTCGGCGATCTCTTTCTCTGACAATGATGTAGTCAATGAGATGCCAGTGTTTGGATCGTGGGTGCTGCCACGAACCCTTGTGAGGTGTGCCGCACACTTGCTGAGGAGGAGTAGGCCATTGGGATTACCACCTAGTCCATTTCTCCCTATGGTTCCCTGCAAAATATCAGCATCTCAGCCAACTCTGGCACTGAAGTCACCAAGGAGCTCAACTTTATCTCCTCTGTGGATAGAGGTTAGCACTCTGTCGAGGTCGGCATAAAAGGCCTCCTTGATGTCATCCTCTGCATTCAGTGTTGGGGCATATGCACGAATGAAGAAGGCATGACGTGAGTGATTCAGTGGGACTCGGAGAGTCGAGGCGCGCATTGATCCCAACAAACATTTCAGTTAGCCTTATGTAGGATGCATTTGCGGATGGCAAAGGAAGCTCCATAAATCCGGTTTCTCTGCGCAGCAGGCTTACCCTTCCAGAAGAAGGTATAGCCAGACCCCCGTTCTGTGACTTGACCCTCGTCTGGGAGCCGGTACTCACTAATGGCTACTGCGTCGATGTTATACCTAGCCAGCTCTTTTACACAAGGGCGGTTCTTCTTTCAGGACTCTCATTTGTGCCAGTATCCAGAAGGGTCCTGACATTCCATGCAGCAACCATAAGAGGTTGTAAAGTTTGTTTTTTTGTATTGATCTGTGATTATGATTGTGTTTTCGACTGCATAAGGATGACCTTACTGGGTGCGGTAGCCCAGTCAGATTTTTTGGGGGTCTTGTGGGAGAGGAATGCAGGCTGCAACCGCACATCTTGGTTCTCCTTTTTCATGATCCAGTGGTGTAAGTAGACTGCCAATAGCCCAGATTTGTTAGGCTTCACCTTAGTAGCCTGTCCATCATACATTGCCTTCGTCCGTCGGTGTAGTCGTTGGGTTCCCATGGTAGTCACCTCTTCCATCTATACCGCCGTTGGGGTCTTGTTGGAGCTCTGTAAGCATGTCTGCCTGATGCCAGGCCCCACTGCAGATTTTCGTTCGGGGTTTACTCCCGTAGCCTTTTCCTTACCATGGTTAATCCGCAAGGCAGCGGATAAAATGGCCATTCCAATGTAGTTGTTCATGGATAATGGTCGCCTCGATAATCCTACAGTTGGTGTCAGCGAGAATACAAGCATTTGTTCTCTTATCTTCCCAGCAGACTCGGTAGGATAGAACGTAGACTAAGTTGGTGACCCATGTCTCCCTGCCATAGAGCTGGGTGGGAAGGATTACTGATCGATATACGTGTAACTTTGTACATAAATTCAGCTCCCTACAACTGAAGACACGGGTACAGAGTCTGCCAAAGGCTTGAGGTGCATATTTGATCCAATGTTGAATATCTTCATCGATGTATACAGTGGTGGACAGGTGGGAGCCAAGATACTGAAAATGAGTAATATTAGAAGGGGTAGTACCGTTAAGCTGGATCGATGGTGGTGTGGTTGAACCAGGGGTAGGCTGAAAAAGAATCTGAGTCTTACGTACATTCACCTAAAGGCCGAATAGTGTATAAGCATCTGTGTAAGTATTCAGAATCTCCTGTAGGTCCCGTTCAATGTGAGCGACGAGGGTGAGGTCGTCTGCAAACTGAAGTTCAGTGATAGAAGTGGCCGATACCTCTGGTCCTGCCTGGAGTCATCTTGTGCGGAATAAGTCCCTTCATCCGGTATCGGATGTCCACCCAGCTGGCTAAATTGGCACTGGCACGAGTAAGGAAGGCAACCAAAAAAATGGAAATCCGAGTTGATGCAAGTATGCATCCTTGTTTTACCCCTGTTTTCATGGGGAAGAACTCATATTGGGTGTCATTGTGCAGGATACTGCCTTTCATGCCATCGTGGAGTTGCCTCACAATTGCGATGAATTTTGGTGGGCAGCTAAAACGACTCAGGGTCTGCTAGAAGGCCATGTACAAGATACAACGTGTTCTTTGTACTTTTCCTGTATCTGGCGGGGAGCAAAGATCATGCCAGTGGTGCTGCTTGATGGTCTAAAGCCACATTGAGATTTTTGGAGGGAGTTTTCCGCTTCAGGAAGAATTCTGTTTATGAGGGCTCGGGAAATAATCTTGCCAGCTATGGACAGCGTGTGAGATCCTGCGGTGGT